CCCCCAATTCCCGGCCCCCCCCCCCCCCCCCCCCCACCCCAAGGTTAAAGTTCGGTGTGCGCTGCTCCTGCACACTTTTGTTCAGTGTTTAACTTTTGACTTAGTTCATGCCAGGTACTGAGATGGATGATTAAGGTGTGAGCGAGGGAAGATGGAATGAAGAGAAGGGCTCGGGCTTAAAGTAAATTAAAACCTTTTCATGCTGCCCCTTAATTGTTAGTGAAGTTATTCGAGAGTACACAACTAATTAGAAAAGGCAAATAAGTTGCAGGTAGAACTAAAGGATAGTGGATGAAGGAACTTGAAGGTTCTTCGAAAGGTGTCTGTCAGTTTAAAAGTCTCGTTTTCATTTCTTAAAGAAATCCCATCTAATTCTTCTGTAAACAAAACGATACTCAAAACTTTTTTTTCATCAAATTTCATCGTTTAATCAATTCGAATTGTAAAAGTTTTTGGCACACAAAGAAATTGCCAATAAAAAAAATTATTTCTCTTATATATTTTTCTTTCCATTTGGAAAGTTTTCCTGGTCTCCTGCTTCCTCCCCATAACAAACACAAGAGTCGAAGAAAGAGAGAGAAAAAAAGAAAGACTCATAAAATCCGAAAATCAAAAACAAGAAGGAAATATTTATGGCCGTTGGGCCCATGAAGGAAATAACAGAAAACACAGTTTGTGACAAAAGTTTGTGTCCCAATAAGATACGAGTACAGAAATAAGTAAATAAATTTCCAGAGGGGGTTCCCTCGGGCAGGACGAGCAACGAGAGCTCTTTCTCTAGTGGCCCCAAGGGAGAGAAAGAAATAATAGAAACAACATCCACAACTGGGTCAAATACATATATACCAATGCGAGAGATCAAACGATAAAAGACACGCAAAATTCCTCCAATACTTTTGCACTGAAAGAAAAACAAGGGGAAGAAATAGAGAATCAATTATTCCCACAAAAATACAGCTACACTTGTGGATCAAGACGAGGATTTTTATTGAATATTTTTGAAATTTCGCTCAGTGCATGTGCGAGTGACAGGAAGGGGTTTGGTGAATCAGAGCACACAATGAAAGGAATAAAGAAATTATGCAAAAACAAAACAAGGCAAAATCCGGACATAAAAGAAATCGCCACATATGCGAAGAGCCAAAGGAAAGGGCTGGGAAGAAGAAGTAGTTTGACTTAAGGACTGTCGCAGGCGAGAATAAGAGAAGAGACAGAAGGAATGAATGAATGAATAAAAGTCAACTGAGTCACGGAACAAACAATAACAACAACAATAACGGCTGAGCAGCCAGCGGGAGGGCAGTGAAGCGTGAGCTCTTAATGAGACCAAAGTTGCCGAAAGAAAACCCTCAAGGGGGTCGCTCGGTCGGTGGGTCTTTCTCTCTTTCCCTGTGGCCATGCACAAGCGGGGAAATTGTTTGCTTTTGTTGGCATAATTGAAAATGGAAAGTGAATGTGTGAGTGGGACGGCAGAGTGAGTGTGGGCCAAAGTGGGTGACAGAGAGGGAGCTTCTGGCCATGGCTCGCTGCGGTCGCTTCGTGGGCGGCCGCCACTCTCGGACAACAATTGAAGGCTGGTCTGAAGTACAGTAATAATTGATTTACTTCGCAGTAAAAGATGTCTTGTGGCGAGATTGGAAATCGAGTGGTGTGACAAGGGGAGGCAAGGGCGAGGTCATATCACACATGTATGATGTATGTATGCATGCATAATGAAGGTTGCTTTTTCTTTCGAGGAAAATGATTCATTGAATCGATGACTGCATCAAAAAACATATGAAAGGAAGGCCTAGGACATGGGTGGATCGTAGTCATAGAAATACCAAGAAAATCGAGAGACAGACCATCTTCCCAAGAAGAATACAAATCAAATATATATTGGCAAACGGACATCCCTCTCTGCATGACCCACCTGTGGGGTCAAAGTCATAATCAACCCTCTGAAAACCCACAACTAAACTTAACCCAAAAAAACCCCACAATTGCCTTGGGATTAACCTTGTCTAACAGTCGTCGTTTTTTATTCGCGTCATGGTCTCTACGGGGCCCGCATATGGCATTAGGCCATCTGATCTACCATCAGTCACACTCAATTACCAACAATTTGGCTGGGCTGCGAGCACAATACTCGTACATTCGAATCGTGTAATGATACTATAACTGGAACGCACACACCACACACACAGACGCCTAAACGGCACAAATGTTTCGTGTTATCTTATCAGAGAGCACATGGAAAATACAAATGGCGGAACTGAAATTAGAGCTCGTGCCATTTTCAAATTGATTGGATGGAGGCAGACGGGACTGGCAGGTGGGTTGGGTAGATATGTCTGGGATACAAAGTGCGCCAATCGGAGTGTCGTGGGGCTGTAAAAGTCACGCCAGAGTACGTTTTCCCGCAGCCGACATTAACCTCTCTCTAATAGTGGTATTACTAGTGCGACGACTTTATGTACATACGACCATTCATACATATATTTTAAACATGTTTGTATGCTGATATTGAAAACAAGTTTTTGGCTTTTAGAGATCAAAGTTGAAAGAGTTGAAGAGCGCAAATGACAGTACGATCTGTAAGCAGAGAGATGTGCGAAATAAAACATGATATTTAATAACATTTCGTAAGCCTTTTTTCTTTTTGTATAAGGCAACTCAAGCACTGATTTATTATTATTTTACATAAATCCCTTTAATTCCTCTTAAACAAATGTTTACTAGTGTTCATTTACCACAAACGATATCAGATACGCAACCCTACAACTACGCACCGCACTGTACGAGTGGTGTATGCAATTTTTATTATAAATTCACTTCCCAGTCGACTGTCAATAAAATACACTCCCCCTGCCTGCACTTAAAGTATTAATTAGTAAAGCACACAGAAAAAAGAGATGTTTGTTCACGGGGAAATGCGGATGCCACACATACAACATTTAAGCTTGCCGTGCCACATTTTAAGTGCAGGTTATTTGGTTTATCGTTTCGAGTTGATTGTACAATATGTATTTTCATTTTTGCCATTCGTCCCGGAGGCATTTTCAAATTGTTTATCAGCCCGCAGTCATCATCCATACAATACGTGGGAATACGTTGGTGCATGGTATATATTTTTATATTTTTCCTGCATTTTTCGTTTCCCATTTAATGAAGGCGTTGAAATGTTCACAACCAAATGGTTTACACTTCAAATAGAGGCAAAAATCCGGCAATAAAAACTTTTACTTTTTGCAAATATGCAAATGTGCCATGAGGAGGGAATATTGAACATAGCTTAATATTTGTGCAGCAGATGGGATAAAGTGTGGGAAAATAGTCTCACCCAGTTCGTCGCTGCCTACAATCCTCTGATGCAACTTACAACACTTAATCTGTTTATCAATTACTCGCAATTATCAGCAATCGATTTGCTGTACAATCTGCATTAAGAACTCGCCATTATCTATGCTGATTGATGTGATTGATTGCGGGCACTGCAATTTATTAAACTTGATAAGAAAACTACGTACTGCGTGCATCTGTAAGGGTTAACCTTGTAGCAGGTCCTCAAATGTATTCAAATTTCCTTAACCTTCACGTGGCAGCTGCTGACAAAGTCAAAATCAATTATACAATAAATTGAGCAATTCAATTTGCAGCCTTTTTGGTAATTTCCGTTCATAAATTGAAATGAATACGAATGCCAGAACAATAGTTTAGACTAACGGATACCCTGCTTAGCCGATGAGTTAAATTTAAGGCAATCATTTCAGATAATTTTGAATGAATACATTTTGTTTTATGGCCATGCTATCTTCTTCCAATTATATCGCACATGAGGTACTTCATAATCCCTCTACCACGCACCATAATGCTTAGTGTACATACCTCAACTGTAACGCAATACACCCTTCTACTCCCCACATCATAAATATCATTTCCAGCTACAGAGAGAGAGAGAGCGAAAAAGAGAGGGACAGTGGGACCGCTGGAGTGAGAGCCAGAGCGATTTTCAGGCAGCAACGTGAATAATTTGCAAAGAGAATATTTATAGCATTGATTGGAGGCACATTTATAGCACTATTCTGATTGAGGGACATTTGTAAACCGATCCCGAACCCAACACTAGCAATCGAATGTGTTATAAACCATAGTTTATGCAACAAACAAATAAAACCTTATCGACCATTTATTTTACAACTTGTTTGATTAAAGCCTTCGGAGCGCGAATGACTGGTGGAGCGGGGGAGAGAAAGAGTGCGAGAGTGAGTCACCGCCAACAACAATGTGAATTTGACAACGTGGCACCGGTTGGCAGTGGCTGCGGCGTCAGCGGCGCTTAAACAAATTGAAAGTCGGCTTTTACTCGAATTTCGCAGCAATTCAATGCGGCCAATAAGTGAAAAGACGCTTACGTAGCCTCCAACTTGAAACTCATTACGTCACCTGGATGAGAGAGTAGCCCAAGAGAGATAGAAAGAAAGAGAGTGGAAGAGAGAGCGAGCGTGGCAATGCTAGTCGTTCTGATAAGAAAAACATACTTTTGCGGTAAAATAAATGCACAAGAAAAAAACAGAAAAGCAAAAACAACGGCAACAACAAAGGCTTACACGCGACAGTGATGAAGAGAGAGGGCGAGAGAGACGGAGAGAGAGAGAGAGAAAGGCGGGAGCACAAAATCGATTTGTCACAAAGTATTGTGCGGCTTGTGTTTGTCATTTAAATGTTGAAACGCAAAGATTTATGCATAAATGATGTACTGAAAGGAATACTCACAATTCTTTGATCTGCATTTTTCCCAAATTTTTATTTCACTTTTCGAAAACGCTGAGAGGGAGGGGAGAGAGAGCACAGATATAAATTAAATTTGAATTTCTCATTTCCATGCATTTATTTATAAACTATATATAGATGCACTTGCACTTAATGAGAAGCAGAAACCTTCAAACACGCATTTTATTCTATATTTAATTTATTTGAGCAAACAAAACGCTTGACTGCGAGGGGTAGACATAAGAAGGGTGGCACACTGTGCAGAGGAAAGAGGGGTACTCTTTTGTTTGGCTGCCAACTAGCTAAAGCATTTACTTCTCATTCACTTGTTAATGCAATTTAGTTGAGCGGCGTTTTAGTTTCACTTAAATTGGTTTTTTCTTGATTTTTTTATGGATTGTCGGCTAAAAAAACACGAGTCATATGCCACCACACACACTCTGATACAGAACGCACGCACACAAACACAAACACACACACACATACACAGTCGCAATCAGTGGATTTTGCGGCAAAATTTGATTCATCAAAATGCAGACGTACAACTGTTTAGATACCGTGTTTGCCTAATTGCCGGAAAAACGTTGCGCGTCCGTAATATTTGTTAATAATTTTTTGTTATTAGGAGAGCTATACAGTGTGGCCGCGGAAAAATATACCGCCTGACCCTCAGAAATATACCGAAATATGCCATTTGAGTATACTATATACTATCTTAGCCCACCTAACGCCCCTATATTTATACAAGAGAACAACTTGAGTTTAACCACCAAAACGTAATCCTGTTCGTAAATTGAACGGATCTAATGAATCCACTCTCTTTTCTTAGCACATAATTTTACCACTGACCTGCAATGCGTAAATATGTTACATATTTCAAAATAGTCGACCATGGGTTAAACGTTCTGTGTTCATGATCGGATATCATATTCATCGATTTTAATGTTCTGTTTAATATTAGTAGCTACCTAGGACTTTACGCAGTGAAGCTATAATTTTATACGATTAATGAACTTATTGTACACAAGATTGTACACATTTTGTTCTCGGACTTTTTAGAAAATAAAACCTTAAACATAAGTGGCAATGAAATGTTACGCCATTTGAACACTTGTTGCTTGTCAATTGGAAACATGTGAATGGATATACACTGCATTTTTTGCATGTTATGTTGCCCAATTTGTTTTTAAACATTAGTAAACATTTCCTCAGTTCTCTAATTATTCTGTTTAATTTTTGTTGGTTCGATATTAGTGCAAATTATAATTTCGATGGTTGAAATATCGATGTTCCTGTAGCACTATAACTCGATGCGCGGGCACACTTAGATATGGTTCATGGACGATGCGATGATTCCCAGGGCTGGCTGTTTAAGCGAAATATAAAATAAAAAACTTTTAAATACAATTCTTTCGTTGAATCGTGATCCTGACTCGTTCATGTATCTTGAAGGTATGGATCGAAATCAGTTGTCTCGGGAATATATTCTTCTCTTGGAGGCTTTTCATCCTCGTCTCTATGATTTCCTGTGGTTGCCTTTAGAGGCTGCTTCGTTTGCGTCGGAGTCACCTTAATTTTCGTCCTTGTCACCTTTTGTTTTCTTGGCTTCCGCGTTGAATGAACGGTCCTCGCATTTGTGGTTTTTGCTTTTCGATTTCTTGGAGAATGCCTACCTTTTAGAGGCTTCGTCGCGTGCTTTTGATTCGGACTGTCTGTCCCTGACGCTTTTTTCGAACTTTCTGTCACTGTCCTGTTTTTCGGACTCTCAATGGTTTTTCTGTGCTTCGAGCTGTCAATCATTTTTCTTTGTTTCGGACTTGAGGTAACTGTAAACTTGGGGTTTTTCGGTTTTCCGGTGGACCTAGCAGTCGTCTCTGCCTCGTCTTCGTCCTCTTCATCTTGGATATCCGCATCTTCCTCTTCGTTTCGAAGCTCCATTACTTTCCTATTTTTCGGAATCTCAGTCACCGATAGTTTTTTCGGACTCTCCGTCATTTTCATTGGCTTCGGTTCCCGTGAGGACGGAACAGTCGTCTCTGCCGCGTCTTCCTCCTCTTCGTCTTCACTCTGGGAATCTTCGTCTTCTTTGGAAGGCTCCGCCACATCCCTTTCTCTCGGACTTTCAGTCACCGTTTCCTTTTTCGGACTGTGTGTCACCTTCTTGGCTTTCGGGGCTTTGGCCGCTTTGTTTTTATTGGGTTTCTCTGCCTCTGCTTCAGCTTCCACATCCTCCAACTCTTCATCTTCTTCATCTGCAGTCTCCGTATCTTCCTCTACTTTGGTAGACTCCGTGACTGCCACTGTTTTACTTCTCGGACTAGCTGCAGTTGCTGTTTGAGTTGTCGAACTCGCGTTCGGCTGTTGCATGGTGGTGGCTGTGGTAGGACGCAAAACCCTTCCCCTAATGGTGACCCGCCTGGTCTTGGGCTTGAGCTTGGCCTTGGCCTTGGCCTTGGCCTGATTATCCACCCGCATGCGTAGGGAGATTTTGATGTGTCCCCTGCCGGAAATCCTCTCTGATACGTCAATGTTCTTTGCCCAGACCCTGCACGCGATTTGCACCTCCTTGTTCTCGGGCATGTCCTTCAGCTGGATGGCCACCACGCGGGCGACGCCCTTCATGTTGCTGGAGGCGTCGTAGTAGGGCCCCGGAATGTAGATCATCGTGGGCGACGGACCCTTCGTCACCTTGCAGCTCAGCCAGATCCTGCTCTTGCCGCCATACTTGCCGATCACATCGTCGAGCTCGTCGGGCGCACTGGATGGTAGATCGTTAATGTCGTCGTACGTCTGCGGCTTGAACCCGTACACATGGTTCATCTTGACGAAGAAGCAGGGCGTCTTCTCCGTCCCATAGCCCCAGAGCGAGTCCGGGTTGCAGTCGTGGAAGAACTTCTCCGCATTGTCGTTCAGTTTATCCAGCCCCGCTTCGATGGTGTCGGCTATCGGATGGATCTGCTTCTCCAGATGCGTGTACCACGATATGGTGGTTGTGTTGCCCGGCACAACGGTTAACCCGGGCGCTCCCTTCAGCCACCTGGGCCGATCTTTGGGTATGAGCGAGTAGTTGAATATTATGTACCACATGCTCATGAGGAAAAAGATCAGGGAGTACAGAAAGAGGTAGTAGCCAATGAACCGGAGCCACGCAAAGGCTGTGCGACCGCACAACTGATTGTTGTCCAGGTCCAGGACCCGCTTCTGCCACGGTATGTCCCGCTTCTTGCGCGTCACCTCCTCCTGGCGGAAACGCTTTCGCACTTTGTAGTGCCCCGCAGGGATCATCAGATCCTCCGGCATTGTTTTTCTGTTTCTTAAATTTTTCAAACAAGTATAATTTACAAACGATGTGGATGTAGTTGTAGAAGTGTTATGCCTACTAGCTGTCACACAATCATTCATCGTAGATGTCAATTTCGTCGTAGAGATTGTCCAGTGGGTCAATGTGCGCCGTCGGATCCACGCGATGCATCACAAACTTCACGGTGGCATGGTCCAATGGAATGTTACGGGCCCACACGGAGCACTTGACGCGCACCTTCTTATTCGCTGGCAGGTTGTGAAACTTTACGCCAATGATGCGACGAAAGCCGGGCTCCTCGTGGATCACTCGCTCCGTTTCGTTCTCCGAGGTGTTTGGGTCCACGTAAAAGTTCTCCTTGGTGAAGAGCCCGTCGGCATCGTAGAACATTTCGGGCACATACGAGATCCCTATCGTCACCTGCTTATACACGAAATCGCAGGAGGCCCAGATTTTATTCGGGCGGTGCTCGGGCGCCAGCTCCATCATGTAGCGGCGCAGTTCTATGGGCACCGCAGCGGGCAGAGAGCGGCGTTCGCTGTAGGTGCTGGCTTCGAAGTTGAGGGCCTGATTGATCTTCAGCAGGACGCAGGGATTGTTCGAGAGATATCCGTAGGCGTGATCCAGGTTGCATTCCCTCAAGCGGTGTTCCGCCTTGTAGCCGTACTTCTCCACGAGATGACGTATCTGCTTTTGCACCTTGTTCGATGCCTGCTCCCCAATCTTGCTCCACATTATAAGCTTCTCGAGGCCCAAAGTGGGACTCATAGGTGCCAAGGACAGGCTGGGAGGCTTTCGAACGGCGGGCTGCTCGCCATCCAATCGAAACTGCTGCAGCAGTGTCCAATAGATGAACACAAAAAGTCCCAGACACAGGCTAAACGCGAGAAGGTACAACAGCACTTTGGTGAGGCGACACATGGTGCGGTATACAACTTATTTCCACGTTGCCCTTTGAGTTATAGTCCAGAGTTTGCTGGAACAAATTTGAACTTGAAGTTTAAATTAAAACGGTTGCTTATCGATTACCAAAATACGCGTTAAGGTGTATTGGATGCCGTGCATCGATGATGGTACACACCCACTTACGTATTTCAGTGTTGACAAGCGTTGCCCAGGACAACTTGATCACCGATCAATCACCGAATGATGTATGTATATTTATATAGAAAACAAGTCATAAAAACTTGCCAGTCTTGTGGAGAACTGATTGGTAAATCGGATAAAACTATAGTCATATTGCTGAGAATCCTAACTAGCTAGTTATATTAAATAGAACATCAAAATCGTGGAAAGGTTTTAGATATGAGAAGGTATGTTTCGGTATAGTTTTAAGGGTCGTGCGGTATATTTTGTCGATAGATCTGCGGTCACACTGTAAACTACATCCCGCGAAAATATTGCTAAAAATTGCGAAAATGAACAAAAAGTTTATTGCTGCCCCATTAAATCGCATTCCCGGCACCAGCCAGGCTAAGGAGCAGCACTGCAAAGACCTAAAGACCCTCAGCTATGCGGAACTACTGGAAATCAGAGACAGACAATCCAATTTGCTGTCATTCAAGTAAGTGTCTGCAGCGATCTGTGGCGCAGGTCATAGATAATTATTCTGATTGTTGTTGCAGAACGCGACTGATGCAATTGCCGGACAAGGGCAGGCGCCTACAAGAGTCCTACGACAAATTGCTGGACGAGATAAGGCGGCGCGACGATGTGGAGGCAACTGCCCAAATGCTCAGCGAACTGAACATCGCGTCCAAGGGAAAGATTGCGCTGAACAATCTCGAATGGAACGGCCGCGAGATTGTGGATGAGGGCGCGCATGTGGAAGATATCCTGGATAGCGATGATGAGCTCGAAATGGACCCCTTGCGGATCATAGCGCAGGGCACAATGCACGAGAAGAGGGTCAAGGTGCTGCCGCCACCCGAGAGTCTCATTACGGCCGGGGATCTGGCCGACATAGAAACGTTCAAGAAGACTGCCGACTCGCCGGACTCTGCTTTGGATGGCCAGAGTGCGAGCAGTTCGATACCCGCAGAGTTAATTGAGATTGATGCCAGCCTTGTGGCAGCCAAGTATTCGAAAGAGGCGCACACATATCCACCCGTCGATCAGCATTCCCTCTACCTCATAGACAAAACCGAACCCAAGGAGAAGAGTGCGGTGCGGGAGAAGTTCCGGCCTTTCCGCACAACCATCTCCAATGTGCACGACCCCGATAAGGAGCGCATAAGGAAGAAGGGCAAGCACTGGGAGATCACAGCAGCTACCCCGCCACTCATTCAGTACAAGGAAGTGCAGATGGTTCCGCTGGCGGAGTCAGCCACCCTGCAGCTTGACTTTATGCAGCGCATCAAGGAGCTGAGGATACAGCAGGCTGAGCAGCGTCTGGCACAGCAGCAGGGCTCGTGCAGAGTACCCGCCTCGGGCTTGCAGCTGCCGGCGGAGTCTGTGCTAAAGACCAAGGCATCCTTCACAAATTATCGCAATCCCCAAGTGGATTATCTGATTGAGGGCAGGCAAAAGCCCAGCGAGCTAAACGAAGTGCATGATCCAACGAGTCTAGACAGAGCAGCCTCCACAAGTGGCATCCACTACACGGTCTACGAGTGACGCCCTTCCATTCCTTGGCCAGCCGTCTCGTTAACATTGTCAACTATTTAATTGTGTAGGCAACAAGAGCTACCAGATAAGAGATTACATACGATTATAGATAACGAGCCCAATTTAAATCGAATAGAACTGTGTGGCTGTAGAGGCCTGCAGCTCGATCTGGCCCATCTTGAACTGCAATCGCTGCAGCCACTTGAGCAGCGCCTCCGACCTGAAGGCCTGCTGTTCCTCGTAGTCCGGCGCACAGTCGCGCACGTTCTGCAGCCGCACGTGAAGTGTGTCCGAGAGCTGCGTCTGGGACGACAGCACGGGGCTCCACATTGGCAGCAGCTTGCCCAGCACCGTGGAGTTTGTGTCCTTGAGCGCCTCCAGCAGGCTGAGGAAGTGCAGATTGACCATTTCGGATAGCTTGGAGTTGGCACTTTGCGTCTGAAAATCCACGCTGGATGGTGGCTGATCCTTGTTGACGGTGGGCTTGGCGTGGGACACCAGCTGCAGGATGCAGGGCGTTACCTTGGCCCAGAATTCGAAGAGCACACCCAGCGTGCCACCCTCCACATTGCTGGTGGTGTTGTGCGCCATCTGCTCCAGATACACGGTCCACAGCTGGCACAGGGTGAACGCATGGAAAAGCGAGGACATGTGCAGCACCGAGGTCTTTGACTGCTCGGCAAAGCCAGCGAATATCACCTGAATGTGATCGGCTATGTGGCAGGAGGCCTCCTGCGGCACCGGCTGCGAGTAGGTCACGCCCTGATGCTGATAGTGGACGCTGGCTGCAGGCGCTTGGCCCTGACCGGGCGGCGGATTCGGCGGAGGCGTCGGTATGGTGTGCGTCTCCTGGCGACGCTGCATCAGCACCATGTGGGTCAGCGAGCCGAGCAGCAGCCAAGAGAGCAGACGCATATGACCCACGCATTCGGTGAACTCCTTGGGACTGCAGGAAGACAAAAATCCATTGAGATGTTGAGATGTTCCTCTGACTGCTTCACTACTCACCCCTGCTGCAGGGAGGAGGGTGCATTGTTCAGCCACGGCAGATACCGGGACACGGCCTTGTTGTCTCTGGAATTGCCCCGCGACATCTCCAGCGCCAGATACTGAGCCACAGCGCCTTTGAGCACGCCGCCCAAGGTGTCCTCGCCCAGGCCGTTGCTCGTTTGTCCGTTCTTTATCTTGCTGAGTGTGTGGAAATCAGCGAGAAAGTCAATCACATCGTTGATGTACTGCCGCAGGCAGTCGGCGGAGTTGGTGGTCAGCATGGGCGCCGCATCGGGCATGCCAGGAGCAGAGCCCGGCGGCAAGGTGCCGCCAGCATCGAGCAGCACAAATCCAATAATCACCAGCAGATTGTGATCGGGAATGTTTGACTTGAACTTGAGGGCCTGCACAAACTCAAATATCATCTGGCGACAGAGCAGGTTCTTGTCGCGATCCTTGCTGAAGGAGCGCGTGTTGAGGGTGCACAGCTCGTAGATGGTTTGGTACTCGAGATTCGTGTGCTGCACGCAGTAGGCCATGATCTTCGAGTACGGATCGAGCAGCGTCTTGGGCACGCAGTTGAGCCGCAGCGTGGCTGCGATTATGTCCAGCATGTACTCGGCATTGCTCAGGCTCGGCATGATGACAATCACCTGGCGCAGCAGCGACTCCATGGCCTGCATGGCCTGTGACCACATCGCCAGGCCCACTCCGGATTCGGCGGGCACACACTGCAGATTCAGATACTCGGCCATGTTGCGGAAGATCACCGGCAGCTGGTCCACTGGCAGTGCCTTCTTGGACGTCAGCGACTCGCACACCATGTAGATGGGACTGGTGGCATTCAGATCCTGGAAGTCCTGCAGTGCCTTGGCAATGCTGCGGAAATGATTGTGTCGGATTTTCACTGCAATTGTAAGAGGGGAATGTTATGCCTCACAGATGCTCCTCCTGCGTATCACTTCTCACTCACTCTTCATTTGGGTCTGGAAAACCTGCAGGAAGATGCCATTGGGCGCCAACTGATGGAGCACGCAGCGGATGAACTGCAGAGCCACCGCCTGTGCGCTGCAGGCCAAAGGCGGACCATTCTCACCCTGCCAGGAGTGTGTGGAGCTCAGACAGATGCTGCAAGGGAAAGAGTGAGGAGGAGGATTCGATTTTGAGAGTCTCTTCCGTACCGCGAAGTCATGGTGAGAATCTCTGGGAGAAAGGGCGCTGCCATGGCCGGTTCGCGGTGTATAAATGTGCCCAGTATGACGATGAATATGCCAATCTCCTCGTCTGTGTACTCTTCAATGTGGGCGCCGCAATCCGAGCAACGCTCCACGATGGTGTAGTCGCCCACGCGACGTGAGCTCTACGAAGAAAGGTAATCATTCCCTGAGGACTCAAAAGATCTTTTAAAGACTTACCCCTCTAGGCACATGAGCTGTTCCATGCGATGTTCCAT